AAAATATACTGAATTATCTGCAAGAGTGTTATAATTGTATTAAATGAATTTTGTTGTATACATTTGTACTTTTAATTATTTCATTTATTTATTTTATTTGCAGCATGGTGACAGGATGAAAGTTGTCTACAGAATGAGAGGTAAGCCAATGATTTTAAATGAAGCCTCTCCTCTTCTCTCCCAGGCCTTCTTGGTGATGCTACAGAGGATATGGTGGAAACACTGGACAGTGGCAAAGGAGAAGACATCGACGAAGAAGAGGTATACAAGATGGCTACTGTACTAGGAAAAGAAAACAGGCTTGATGCTATACTGCAAAGGTAAAGGCCTTCATACACGAGGCAACTTGTTACTAGCAACTAAGCAACATGTTGCCAAAAATAGAACATTTTTCCATTTCTGGCAACATGTTGCTTACAAGATCAAAGTAACCACAAATGTTGCTAGCAGCAAGTTGCCTCGTGTATGAAGGCCTTAAGGAATGAAAGAAGAGACATTCAATTTACTTGTAATATTTTACTTGCATACATGATAGATTAGCTCAAGCTAAACATTTCCTAAGAAGTCATGGGCTTGTTCATGCTGGACTGAAATTAATCAGCTACTGTGTCAAAGTCAAAGTAAATATAATAATAATAATTTGTACTATAATTATTTTTTCTTCTCCTTATAGACTAATAGGCAATACTTGATACAGCCTCACCTCCATACATTAAAGATATTACTGGGTATACTCAATCTTGCACTGCAACACGAGCAGCTTGAGAGCAGTGGACTGGGAGCTACTGTAGCACAGCAGGTACTGTCAGTTACTGAGCCAATACTGCAGGAGGCATCCAGTCAACAGAGAGTGATAGTTAGATCTATTAGTGAAGAGGTCAGCTTATGTACCTAATGGAAGAAACATGTACATGTATTTATGGATGACAATATACATGTATGTACATATACATACTACATACATGTACATGTACAATCGAGAAACCTACTACATTTATAGCAGAACTTTACATTGTTTTACACTGGAATGCTTCTTAAACAACATATACATGTAGCTACAAAATACATGTACATATTAGCTTTTAAGTACTTTAATATGCATTTTTGTACATTATATTTCAGAAGGCTCAGTCTCACATATCAACTGTGTTTGGCCAGTTTTCTTAACTTACAGCTAATTTGTAGTTAAATAACTAATTTTAATAACTTTTGGTCCGCCCATCCACCCACTTGCCCCACTATATAAGCCCCTGCTTCAGCCATCTTCCTTGGCCTTTTTCTTAGCTCTCTTACAGAAGCACGTACAAATATGTCTCTAAAAGACATCTTGGACAAAGTTAAAGGTTTAGACAGCAGACTTTCTGACTTAACAACAGATGTTGAATACTTAAAAAAGAAGGACCAAGCTCAATGTGAGTTGAAGAAGGTTGAAAATTGCCGTAGACGTTCTAGAAGTCCCCACTCCAGTTCTAAGGAGCGAGCAGGACAAAATTCTGGGGAGCGACGCTCCCGTGCCAACAGAACTGAATCATACTCGTCGGAGGACGAGGAAGTTTTCGAGCAACTTATGGAAGTCTCGGAAGAACTTATCATCTTCTCACTGACTCTTGCACGCGGGGCGTGTCAAGTGAGACTAGGAAGTGTACC